CTGTTGCTGATATATCTTATTGATTATAATTATTTTCTTCCTAATTCCAAAGTTGGAGAAGTTCCTATCCATAGTGGCGAAGAGATATTAATTAGTTATGGCAACAAGGGAAATGAGGTACAGTCTTCTTTTTAGTTGTGGTAGGCTACATTTTTTGGGTGACGGGGGAAATCCGCAGCCACTACCCGAGGATGTGCACTGGGTAAACCCTGCCTTGTGACCCTAGCCGGCAAAGAACCACAAGGAGGTAAATCAGCCTAGGTTGCCCATAGCTGACCGCCTGACCAGCTCAAACCAAGAAGGTTGGGCTTCGAACTCGTGATATTGTGGTTACAAGTTTGTATTCTTAGCCATCTTGACTGGGGTTACCCCCTAGTAGGCTACCCGAGGATGTGCACTGGGTAAACCCCGCCTTGTGACCCTAGCCGGCAAAGGACCACAAGGAGGCAAATCAGCCTTGGTTGCCCATAGCTGACCGGCTCAAACCAAGAAGGTTGGGATTCGAACTCGTGATCTTGTGGTTACAAGTTTGTATTCTTAGCCATCTTGGCTGGGGTTACCCCCTGGTAGGCTATTATCTGTACCAGAAAATTATTTTTCCATGCTAGATCGATCACTCATGATAAGAACTGAAATTGACCCACTGATTATACAGGAGCTGCTTTACCTGTATGGATTTGTAATGGAGGATAATCCAGATGACTATCTCATGGTAATCTAATCTATGAATCTATCTAAATCCTGCCAAATCTTTTCCTTATTTCAGAAAATTTTCTAAATAGTTCACAGCCATAGATAGACCTCTGGCAAATGTTTCACCAGAAAGGAAAGAGAATTCTTTGCCAGCTTTGTGTAGATGTATATGTATATACAAAATATTTATCTTAGTTCGATATTTGTATTTGACATTGAAGGTTCATTACCCTGTGGGGGCTATTCAGGGCATTGCTTTCGCCGAGTCCAAATCACAGCTTCTTGAAGCACAGGCAAGAAACATTTTTTTGAAAAAATGAGAACGTGTAATCTAACATTTCCAAACATTCCAATTTGATATTTTTAAAAAAAATAAAAAAATTCAAGTGTGAATTTGCCATCTCTTTGAAGACATGTCTATAACATTTTCCCTTCTCTGGTGTCTCGACCCTTTTGGTGTGTGCAGAAAGCTGAATTGAGGTGTCTCTTACCAAGAAGTTTGTTGAAAGATGGATTTTTTCCTCCATGTATGCCTCGAATAGAAAACAATGATAAATGCTCCAGTAATAGTATCAGTGCCTATAGTTGGAGCGGTCAGCGGAAGATGCCCTCTTACTTGAATAGGCTTGTTTTCCCCGAGGATTTTTTGACTGCCTTGAGAACAATTGCAATGAAAGATGAGCTATATAAGGTCACGTCATTACTTACAGAGGTTTGTTTTCTCTCTGTATTGCTCTTAATTCAATTTCTGATAGAAAAAAGAAAGAGCGCATAAAGAAATTAGTACTCCTACAAAGAAATGCGAGAACTCTTGTTGCTATAAGCCTATAATATCTTCACAATGGTTGGAAAGGATTCGTCTATATCAAGGGATGTTTGCTTTGCTATTTAATTTAATAATTTTGCACTTCGACGATGTTATAATCTAAGATTGGGTCAAGGTTACTCAATTGGGCTATAATGCACATGGGCCAAACCACACTAACAGATTGGGCAAATTATTCTGTGGAAAGGTGGACCCAGGTCTAAATGTTCACAATTTACATACTAAATATTCACAATTTACCTTTTAAAAATTCACAATTTGTATACTACGAACACACAATGTTAACATATATGTAATTGATTACCTTTTGTATTCACAAGTTCCTTTCAAATACTGCAGTCACACAATATTAACAGATTAGGATTTGATGACCCTGTATTGTATTCAAAAATTCTCTTCTACAGTTATGTGTTTTGACTTAGAAACACATTTTATATTCTAGAAGTTCACAATTCCAATACTAAAAATACATAATTTATATATCGTTTAGGACTAGGTCCACCTTGGGCCCTTGCAAGGTGGACCCTGGTCCATGGTATAACAACTCAACAGATTGAATCCAATCAATTAGCTAGTCTAACCATAAACCCATATGTTCTCTCTTATATTTTCAATGTGAGACTCTTAATAGACGAATTAGTTCTGTTTTTTGTGGTAATATTCTAATTTCCTTCGGAGTGGACTTTGTTTCATCATAAGCACAATACAATAGTATCCGTTTCATGGTTGTTATTGTTGGTCATTAACCTAGTACTTATTTGTTATGAAGCTTGTTGGAGCCGGAGGCCAAAGGCAACCATCTGATGCAGAAGTTCGAGCAGCAATTTGGGAGGCATGTGGTGATTCTGGAGCCCTGCAAGTGCTTGTTGATCTGCTTAACATGAAGTAATTGCGATGTTTTGAACTATAGTCATGCTAAAGCTAATATTGTAGGCAACCATTTTCTTATCTGTGCGTGTAATTCTACACGGTACTGAGCGTAAAATATACTCATTTGACCTAAACTGCTGATAAAATATAGATAGATCAACGAAAATGCCCGTCTCTTGACTTGGTGAATCTCATGTTTTTAAGGATGACGGAGCTTGAAGAAGGTTCTGGCACAGAGGAGAATGACGCTGAATTACTTTGCAGTGCCCGCTCCATAGATAATTCAGTGGATTACCAAAGGTATGTTTTATACAATGCATTTCCCTTGATATAGTTACTAACCCTCCTCTATCAGGGTACCTCTGTCCCATTGGACATGCGGTTAGGGTTGTCAATGCAGGCTGGCTTGCTCCATCGCGGGTAGTAATTTTTGTAGGCCTTTGTGGACCAGCCCGCGGGCTAGAATTCTTCAACCCTAACCCATTCTAGCCGGCAGGCTAGAATTCTTCAACCCTAGCCCGCCTCATGCAGGTCCCACAGGCCAACTTCAAGTGCTTGTTAGGGCTTCAACCCAACAATCCTAGAATTCTTCAACCCTAAACCACCATGGGGCGGTTCAGGGCTGGCCTGCAGGCTTCGGCCTACTTTGACACCTCGCAAATTATGCCGTGCAAAAGTGGGCAACGCGTCTGACTTAAAAAAAAAAAAAACAGTTTCGATTGCCGTTAACGGCGTTATATTGTGCATAATTTGAACTATATATCCAGAATTAATGAACTATATATCCAGAATGAATGAACTATATATACCAGAATGAATGAACTATATATCCAGAATGAATGAACTATATATACCAAAATGAATGAACTATATATCCAGAATGAATGAACTATATCCAGAATGAATGAACTATATAGTTCAAATTATGCATAACATAACGTCGTTAACGACAATCGAAACTGATTTTTTTTTTTTTTTAAAGTCGGACGTCAAAACGACGTTGTTTTTGCAACTGTGTGCACAATGCACGGTGCACATGGTTGCACAGCATAACGCTCCGACGCCTCTACATGCGAACTCCATCACCTTTCTCCTAAAGCATCGGTTTTACGTGTTGGTATTCTGCTCATTTATTAAAACTATTTGATCCACATTCCTTGCAGCAAATACGATAATAATGGCACCAAAGAGAACAAATTGCTAAGCAGAAACAGGTGGTGTAGCATAGTATACCGCCATGGGCAAAAGCAACTCACCCGCCATTTCTTAAAGGAAGCTGAACATGCCTTGCAGTTAGCATTGAGTGAGGGAAACTAGAATTAGGGGTGTGTGGGCAGCCTTGAAAGTAGTTATATTTGAATAATAATGAGCTTTTCTCGTCATAATATATTTGTAGAAGACATTGCATGCTAAACTTGATTTCTTGAACATTTTACAATGGAACAAGTGTCAAATAGGTCAAAGAATTTATCGCTTTTGTGCAATTGGATTACTGAACTTAAAAAGTGTGCAATCGAACCATTAAATTAGCAAAATATGGACAATGGAGACATGTTTATGATTCCTTTTAATACAATTTAAGTTAAAAAGATTTTACTTTTTCATCCCAACTAATATGGTAGAAGAAAGGGCAATTCTTAGTGCATGCCATCTAAGTAATAAGATTGGATTTTAACTTGTTTAATGGTTTAATTGTACACTTTTTAGGTTCAATGATTTAATTGTACAAAAGGGGTGTTCGGCAATTAGCTGATAGCTGATTGATTTAATTGATAGTTGATTGTGTTAAATGGTTTGTTTGATCAGTTGTTTACTCTTAATTGGTTATATATAAATAACCTGTAAAGATATAAATATATTATGCTATTTTCTTAACTCTTAAAGTACTTTTACAATTATTATCATTATTAATTATTTTTAACTATTATTTTTTGTTTTATTATTAATATAATGTTATAATTATAATTCAATATTAAAAATACAATTTCAAATAAAAATATAATAAATATAAATTACCAAGACTATGTGGTCTAATGGTACCCGGGTTGGACTTCCATTTAGAAGATTGTGAGTTCGAGGCCTTCACTTTTAAGGCTATGCCATCCTAAGGTGTTGCTAAATGGATGGATCTTATCAACGTCCATGAATGAGAAAAAAAAAAAGAATAAATATAAATTGTTAATAATAATTCATGAGTTCTCAATTCAAATGTCGGGTTCTATGCAATTTGATATATTAAAAATGTAAAATTGAATAATATAAACACTATAATAACCCATAACTATTAAAATAAAATACAATAAGCTTATATTGATATTATGCCAATAAGTTAAGTTAAAAAACTGTTTATCAAACACTTATAGCTATTTGACCAATCAAACAGCTAAAATTGGTCAAATAAGCTACACTTTAGTTAATAAACCATTTTTTAAACACCTCAAAAATAATAACTTACTTATTTGACACTTTTTTTTTTTTTTTTTGTTTACAATCTGGTATGCAAAGCCTGATTCTTGAATATTTCATTTCAATGAATTATTACTAACTTCAGGTTTTGATGAAAAGGTAGTTACTAATAAACTACCTAATTAACTGCTTTCCCTCCTTCGCTATGCATAAACCTCTCTTAAACCCTACTGTTAATATTCCTACTTCTTCACTGCAACACTGCCTGCCAGTCTGCCATGAGATCTCAGGCGAAGAGCTTTTAAGATCAGAGATGGCTACCACAGACATCAATGAAGCTCGTCGTCGCAACTATCTCATAAATCTTGACTCACAAATGGTGTACAAGATAATCTCCGACGACCCAATCGGCAGAGATTCCGGCAACATTCCCGTCTACAAAGTAACCCACTCCGCCCTCCATGGCACAAAGGTTACTTTTAATCCCCACGACTTTCTTTGCGTGAAGAAGGCGAATCTCCGCCGCCGTGAAACCAATTCTTCAACAACGCCGCCATTGGACGAAGAAATCTCTACAAGAAACAATGCTTTGCCTCATCATCACAAGAACTTGATGCCGGTGGATGCCCATTTCGTCGACAAGCTAAGTGAGGATCTCTGCGTTGTGATGCCGTTCCCGGAGCGGGGCTCGCTCCGGTCAATCATGGCCGACGAATTCCCGTATGGGTTCCCGGAAGTGTTCATCTCCGTGGCCCTGAGATCGGTTCTCAAGGCCCTCCGGTTCCTCCACGGCGCCGAGATCCTCCACGGAGACGTCAACGCCGGCCACGTTTACGTGAAGAGCGGCCCTAAAATCATGCTGGGTTTCGCCGCCACGGTCTACGAACACCAAGTCTCCAATGTGGAATGTTCGTCTCACTCGGCGTTGCCGGCGACCCAGATTTCGACTTGGGCCGCCGCGCCGGAGGTGTACGATGGTGGGAATGGGAATAAGGCTGCAGACATTTGGCTGGTGGGGATCACCGCCATGGAATTGGCTTATGGGGGAATCAGAGTTCCGAATCGCGAAGCGCTTGAGGTTCTGATCAGGGGAATAATTGAAACCAAAAGGCTTCCCAAGAATTACCAGTTAGAAGAAGAAGGAGAAGAAAAAAGGTCATTTTCCAGGGAGTTTGAGAAGATGGTGGCAGAATGTGTGGCGTGGAACCCTGCGGATAGGCCCTCTGCTTGTACCCTTCTGAAACATGAGTTTTTCAGCAGGAGGATTAGGGGGTTGAAGAGGTCCACCTTCAAATCACACTTTCAACAAGTTGTGATTGATGAAAAGATAGAGAACTCCAATACCAACTCCTCGTCCCGGTCACCGTCACCGTCCTCGTCCTCTCTGGGTTTCTGGTCCTCTCCAGATGTTAACAAGAGGTAAGCCCGCTCTTCAAACTTATCAACTCTTCTGTAGTTATAATTGAAACTAACGCATATTTCATCTCAACTAAAAGCTAGCCTAAACAGACTTTTTAAACCTTTTGAATTGAGCTTGCTCTTGAAACTTATCAACTTAACCCGGCCCTTTGTAATTATAATTGAAACACATGTTTCATCTCACTTAAAAGGTTAAATAGACTTTTTAGACCTTTTGCATTGAAACACGTGTTTCATCTCAACTAAAAGGTTAAATAGACTTCTTAGACCTTTTGCATTGAGATGCTCTTGAAACTTATCAACCCTTCTGTAGTTATAATTGAAACATCTACTTCATTTTAACTAAAAGGCTAAACAGACTTTTTAGACCTTTTGCATGTGAAACAACATATATACTTTTTAGATTTTTGGCAATTTGCATGGGGTTAATCTCATATCAAATTGAAACTTTGCAATTTGCATGGGGTTAATCTCATATCAAATTGAAACATGTGTTCTAGTTAAGCTGATAGTTGGATTTATTACACGTTTATGCATGTGTATATATTGTATGCCAACAGTTATCCTTATAGTTTATATAATAAATTGATGTGCTTACTATACTGCTATGAGTCCCACCAATAATTTTCCTAATTAAGCTTGTGTACAATATAATGATGTTTCTGTAAACACTTTAATTTGTTTAATTTTAAGCAAGCCTGATTAGATTCTGGGATAACTTACGTACTGCATATATATATATGGTATGATATTAAGGAGGGTGAAATCTCACATTTCAATCCCTGGCCGGCCTGAAAGCTTTGATAATGTGTTTGATGATGAACCACTTAATCTCAACTTCAATTTCCCCAGCAGGTACGTATTAATTATATAATTAACTCCGATCCTCGCTCATATATATATAATTATTGTTAATTGCTAATTAATTAGGCACAAATTTCACATGTGGTCTACAGTCTACAATTTTACAATGATATCATTAAAGAAGTATCACCGAAGTTGCGGTTTTACAAGACGCCCAAGAGGTACGTACGTAATTAATGTAAACAATTAATTAAATTGCTTAGTTACTAACTCTTTCTTCATTGTATTGAACCTCGTACGTACACTTGTTTGTATAGAAAATTGTTTGACGATGATCTACCAGCAGGCCTCCATGAAGAATTAATTGATGAATATATAGGGGGTGATGAATGGAAGCTAACACTCGGCCGGAAAAACAAAAAAGTTACGTTGAAGAAGAAGAAAGATGAGATCAAAGAAGATAAGTAGCGCTGAATTGAAGCTTCCAATCAGACCCTAAAGCTAGGAAGAGAGAGAAATAATAATGTTCAAACCCCAGAATCATTTGATCAAAATACGGGGATATGATGCTTGATGAGACAATATAATATAATCTATATAATTCTAATAAAAGCAAATAATGTTAGGCCTTTAATTGGAATAAAAAAATGTCTGTAGTATTATTCTTAAAATGAATGATTCATATTAAAATGCATGACCTATGTACAATAGGAGGGAAATTGATGATGAGATCCAATATTTGAATGCATGCATGCATGGAAGTAGCTAGCTAGTTAGCTTAGGGCTTTAATCTATGAAAAAAACAATAATACTATTGGAAAGCATAATGCCTAAGCTATTGAGTAAGAAATTAAAAGTAACCACTAAAATATTGACCTATTTAATCATTATTAACAGATTTAAGTTTAAATAATTAATCTAAGTATGTAATAGAGTCAGTAACATTTAAAAAAAAATACTCCGTATTTAATTAACTTTTTATAACAGTTAAACACTAAAATTTAAAAAACTGTTCAAAACGTTATTTTCGATCTAACTTTTTTAAAAGGTCATTTTGTATTTAATTAAAATTACCAAACATTTTTCAACAATTCATTAATGCTATTAATCAATTACATTTTTCTACAATAATTAATGTTATTAATTAGTTAAATACTCAAATTCACAAATCTAACAGCCATTTACCAAACACCTCTAAGGCCCTGTTTGGTAAAAAATTAGCCTATAGGCAAACTTTGGCTTATTTGACCACTATTAATTGTTTGATTTAGTTAAAATATCAATATGAATGTTTAGTTAATTAACTTTTTGCAACTCCAAAAAGCTAAAATTGAAAAAGCTACCCCAAGCAACTTTTTCAATTAGCTTTTTGAAAAAAGAAATTATACCAAACAGCTAACAGCTAACGGCTAATTTACCAAACACTTTTCTACAATCAGGGTTGTAAAAATCCCGCCTAGGCACCGAGTAATCGGCGCCTAGGCGCTAGGCGCCGATAGGCCGTGGCGATTTCCGCCCTAGGCTCCCGCCTAGGAGACCGGCCGCCTAGGCGCCCGCCTAGCGCCTAATTCAGCCGCCTAGCACCTAACTCGTCCGATTACGCCGAGTTAACTCGTCAATTTCTGTCGAGTTAACCCGACCGACTCGACTTTGCTAATTTTTTCCATTTATATGACATATACATATAATATGACATATATACACTCATAGACTAATTTGATACTTTCAATCTTTGGATGATTGAAGTATTTGGATATTTCATTTGAGTTTTTTTTTTTTTTTAATATTCTTTTGATGGTATGACTTATGAATTGTAATTATGTCATTTATTTGGATGTGTTATTTGATTGAATGTTGAAAACAACCTCATTAAAATTGTCAAATTGCAAGTTTGCTACTATTTTTTTCGCGACCGCTTAGCGCCGCCTAGATTCCGCCTAGGCGCCAACTAGACCGCTTAGGCGCTAGGCGCTGCCCGGGCGCCCGACTAGCGCCCAGCGCCTACTGCAACCATGTCTACAATCAACTAATGTTATTAACTATTTATACCCTCTCATTAACACAATCAACTAACAACTAACAGCTATCAGCCATTTTACCAAACAGGGCCTAAATCTCACTGCAGCTAAGTGTTCCCAATGCTTTTGTGTGTGTTTCCTGCCTGGTTCATTATCTTTGTATTTCCTTTCTGGGCTCTTCAATAGTTAGTTCCTTGAAGTGGAAGTTTTTGGGGGTTGAGCTTAATCCCTAGCCGGCTAGCCCTTCGCCAATTCGCCTCAGCTGCGAGCAGCACCAACGACGACGACACTTACGACGCGACATTGTGTGTAGAATCAAGACATTGTGTGTAGTGTGTCTCAATGTGTAGTTTCACTATGGCTCATCAAAAAATATTCGGTTTGCACATTATACATATATTTCCTGGCAGAGCTGAATAGATTCACCCAATTAAGTCAACCTAAAGGAATGCTCAAGAAATCTACTTCCTTTTATGGTACCAAACATTTTCTTTCTTCCATCCTGAGCATCCCATGGATTTACCTCCAAAAACAAACCTTGCATTCTTCCCCTCCAAATGTTTCGATTCTTGAAGCTCTATGCTCCGATGGTGACTTAACAGAAGCCTTGATTGAGATGGGCAAACAAGGAGTGAAGATGGGTTTCAGGGACTATAACAGTCTGCTAAACGAATGTATAAAACAGAGGGCAATAAGGGAAGGGCAAAGGCTGCATGCCCACATGATCAAGACGCTTTACCGCCCTGCTGTCTTTCTCAGGACTAGGCTGATTGTTTTCTATGTAAAATGTGAGCTTTTGGGGGATGCTAGATGGGTGTTTGATGAAATGCCTGAGAGGAATGTGGTGGCTTGGACCGCGTTGATTTCTGCCTATGCTCAGAGAGGGAATTTCTTTGAAGCTCTTGATCTTTTCGTTCAGATGTTGAGATCAGGTAATTTCTTGTGAGGAATCATTAAGATTACACTTGATTCAGCTATATTGGAATGAGTGGGCATTGTTGTTTAGTACGGTTCCCTGTGATCATAAGACTAAATTCATCTGTTTTGTCCGCTGCAGGAATGGAGCCAAACGAGTTCACTTTTGCCACGGTGCTCACATCTTGTATGGGTACGTTTGGTCTCCAATTCGGAAGGCAAATCCACAGTCTCTTGATCAAGACTCCCTTTGCATCTCATATGTATGTTGGAAGCTCACTTCTTGATATGTATGCCAAAGCTGGTAGGATACACGAAGCTCGCCTTGTCTTTGCAGGTCTGCCAGAAAGGGATGTTGTTTCCTGCACTGCCATGATTTCGGGCTGTTCTCAATGGGGGCTTTACGAGGATGCTATCGAGATATTCTGTAAGTTGCAGGGAGAAGGAATGCCATCTAACTATGTCACTTATACAAGCCTTTTGAATGCAGTATCTGGACTTGCTGCAATTGAGCATGGCAGACAAGTTCATGGCCATGTTATCAGATCAGAACTACCTTTTTATGTGATCCTTCAGAATTCTCTTATTGACATGTACTCCAAGTGTGGAAACCTCAGTTATGCTAGAAGGATATTTGACAGCATGTCTGAAAGAACTGTTAGCACGTGGAACGCCATGCTTGTTGGTTACAGCAAACACGGGATGGGAAGAGAGGCGGTTGATCTGTTCAGAAAGATGAGAGAAGAAGATGAAACTAGCCCGGACAGCATCACGTTTTTGGCTGTGTTATCGGGCTGCAGCCATGGAGGAATGGAGGAGACAGGCCTGGACATCTTCAATGAGTTGGTTGCAGGAGAGAACAAGGTTGATCTTGGGATGGAGCACTATGGTTGTGTTGTTGATTTGCTTGGCAGATCGGGCCAAGTAGAGAGGGCTTATCAGTTTATTCTACAGATGCCTTTTGAACCGAGCACCTCCATTTTGGGCTCGCTTTTAGGTGCCTGCAGTTTTCACCTGAATGTCGACATTGGTGAACTCGTAGGCAATCGCCTCCTAGAAATCGAGCCAGGATGCCCGGGGAATTATGTCATCCTTTCTAACATATATGCATCTGCAGGAAGGTGGGGAGATGCAAGAAGAGTAAGAAAGTTGATGGAAGAGAAGTCAGTCGTGAAGGAGCCAGGAATGAGCTGTGTTTAACTGAACTAAACCCTGCATAGCCTTTTATCCTAGTAAAATGTCAACTAGGATAAGCAGAAGAGGAGGGAGAAAATGCTGCTTTAGCCTGTGGGACATTGGGAGAGTTGATTGGGGTCTGATTGTGATTCAACTGAATTAGACTCATTCTGCAGAACACAGATATTACAGTACGTTTAGTTCATGGAACAAGGCAGAAATGAAATAACCTTCTCGAGACTAAGCTGTGATTGCTTTTGCACCAATAAAAAAGGTCTTCTTGTCATTCTTGCTGATGTTTCAACTTTTTGCTTGAGGAGCTTATAGTTTATTAGTGTAAGCATAGGCTGAACCTCAAGAGGTCTTAGGTTTAATATCCGTTCCAGCGCCCGATTAACCATTTGCTTTACATGGATTCCCAGCTTTGTGTCATCTTGGAAGCCATTGTTGTCAATTCAGTGACAGATGACATCTTGTTCACACTTCTTACTCGATGTAAACCAAAGAGAATTCTGCGGTTGTTCCTTGTTCGAAAATGGACTGATGTTATCTTTTTTTTTTTTTTTTTTTTTTTCCCACCCTTTCGGTTGAATAGGTCTCTCATCTGGTAAAACATCATAGAAGTAGATAATCTTTATAGGAATTTGAAAGAGATTTCGGGGAATTGTTTCATGAAAAGGGATTAGTTAACTAATCTAGGTGCGTAATCTTTGGGGCTCAGACTGTTATTCATATCATTGATTGTTGCCCATATCATTAGGTGATACAGCAGGTTCTGGTCAGGCTGTGCCCTTAAATTTGGTCAAACATAGGTTGAATAGCTGTAGCCCGGTGCTCTTAAATTTTGAAGACCTTGCTTGTAGATATTGTTAGCTGGCATTCAAATTAGATGTAAAAGGAGGTTAAGTGTGAAGAAATTTCACTCTGTGTGGTCCTTTGGAAACACTCTTTGGTGCATAAGAATTAAGATGTGTGACTGTGGGTGTGGGCCCCAATCCTACCTACAGATGGAATTAAACTCGTTTTTCTTATTATATATTGTCATAATACATTTAATTTTAAAAACGAATGTGTTTGGTTTAAATGCATAGTTAGAATTTATTGTGGGCTGAGATAATGTAGTGGTACCCGTAAAGAAACCTTATGTATGAAGTTTGGCAGCATTGAAGAACCCATGCCAAAACTCTAGAAGGGGCTTTTCTTCTCTTGATTAGCTGCTAACTAGCTATAGAATACTAAGACTGCCTACAAGAGCCTTTTCTTCGATCTGATTTGCTCTGAAGTCCTTGACTAATTGGACATAATGCTTTTATTGCCTCTATTATCCTCAGTCCTTTTTATTATGTGAAACCATTGCAAAGAGAGGGACGCTTCCCAATGCTACAGAGATAATCATTGCATGCTATCCAAGCCATTGCTAAGGCACCAACATGATTTCTCAAGTCCATTGATATTTAATGAAAGGTTTCATTGATCAACTGCAATGATATTTAATGTTAGTTCTTATTCCAAGGATGTGAAAATACAATTCGATGCTTGAATTGTACTTTGTGTAAAAACATCACTATTTTGTAGGGCAGAATCTTGGTCAAAAATAGTAAACTAAATAGTATAGAGTACAGCCATCTGTCTTTCGTAGGTAGAACAGTGTTTCACTTTGGAAAAAGCTTAGTTGAAGGAATCCCGTAGTGGCTTGTGGTTCTGCATCTCCCTGGTGAATTATTGCTAGGTCTCAAACTATGCTAAGATTCAAATTCAACCTTATAAGCTATAGTTCACAGCTAAAGTATATTCTATTCTTTCTCCACCTTGAAAGAAGCTTGTAGTGGCCATTCCATAACAAGGATCAACTTGGTGTAGTACCCAAGTGTTCATCCCTCGGATCAAATTTTTGGAAATCGTTTATGTTGCATACATTTTCTTCCACAATCCATGCATGGGAGTCGTATACACCATCTCTGACCTTTATAATAGGTCTTTAGGACAATTCTTTCATTTAGATGGCACTCGGTAGTTGGCGTTCAATTTGCTGAAAGTCATTGCTCCTTTTTAAGCCTATAAATCCATTTACCTTCTAACTTGCTAATTTCGTGATCATTTCCTTTGCAGATTTCAGGTACTGCAATGGTGCTGGATGACTGGATGAGATCATTAACCATGTCCAATACCTACAGCGTCAAGTGGAGGTTAGACTTAACGGACCATTCATCTAATTTATCATTGATGAAATATGTGTCTTCACTAAAATACAACTGTCTCAGTTACAAAATTGATGAAATATAAGGCCTTTAGTAGTTTAGTTGGTGATTTTTTCGATAGTTGTTACTCTTCAAGAGATGGTATAGTTGCTGTAATGCTATAACAGTCCTTAAGTTGAAGTGTAGGTGGGTGGTGTTTCGTATATCATAGATGGTTGGTGGTAATGCAAAATGATGGAGGATGGGGGGATATTTGATGCTAATGATCGGGAAAAGAATATAACGTCCTGCAGTTAGGCCTCATTGTTACTAATCTACTATCATATGAGGCTACAGTGTGTTTATTTCTTCGTTCTTTTGATAAGTGGCTGTTGCCTGTTGGTAATCCTACTCATAAAATTTAAACTTTACGGTCGTATAGTATTTAATGCTTTGTTGCTTTAAATTTTTTTTCCTGATCGAATGTTTATTTGTCTACAGTTCTTATCAATGAGACTCACAGCTGTTAACCCAAGAATCGATTTTAACGTTGATGCTCTCTTTGCTGCTGAAGTAAGTACGATGAAACCCTTTAGTTGTAATAGCTATGTAAGAACTCCCGATTTTAGATTAGATCAATGACACCATCTGTGATACTATTTCGCTAAGTTAGCTAATCTGTAAACATTTTCACTCTGACATGTTCATATGAATATCTCTCACCATACCTATAATGTTGCTTGCCTTTGGAGTAACCTTCCGTCAGAGTCTGAATAGGTGGGTCCCTATATTCATAAGCCGCAAAATGTAAAACATTATCACGAGCAACTATATTCAACTTGTGAACAAGTTAAGGACTGTTGTTTTCCCCCAACAAACTTAAAGACTTCCATCCTTGTTTAATTGGAGATGTCCATGTAATTTATAGTTTGCGTATAGCATTTATTGATCAAACTATTGTTTAATTCTTAACATTTGCAGACTGGTTCCCCATTAGAAAGCAACTTTCCGGGCATGATCATGCCATCGATGTGACCTGAGGGACAAGCCAACTAACGGAAACAGGCAACCTTATCAACAGCTATGGCATTTTGATGGACTTCATCGACCTGTGTGGAGTAGGGAAGACGGGAACTCAGTATTAACTTACTACTCAACAAATCCAGGTGCATACCAAATCTATTATCCCATTATCATCTCCATATCTTAGATGGCAAAGTATTCCAGACAAATCTCACTAGTAATTCTGTATCCTCTACTGGCACGGCTTCTTTGCATGCAAATAAGCAAAAGATGGAGCTATGAAGGTAAAACGCGAAGCTTTTGGCTGTAGTTAGGCATGTATATATGACGTGGTAGTAGATTGCAGGGAAGTAGAGAGGCGGTCACAACAACTGGAATTCGGGTTTCCATGATCTCTAAATTGCAGCGAGCTGGAAATCCTGGTATTATCTTGCCAGAAGGGATGACTGCTTGCTAGTCTTAGTTACATATATACCCATATACACACACACACTGGTGTTTTGTGTCTTTGTGAATACTAACAACTTGAGAGTCATTCAATCTTATTGGGTGCATGAAATGATTGGAGTGATCTTGGGAATTAGACCAGAATCACTGCAGATTACGAGTGATTAGTTATGATTATGGGAGTCTGTTTTCTGTTTATTTACTATTTGCTCACTGAAGATTATTGTCTTTCTTGAATGGCTGCCCGTTTCCCAGGCTGGATTCAGAAAAAATAAAAAAAGAGTTAATTTCAACAATGGTCCTTTAACTATAGTGATTTTCCAAATTTAGTCTCTGTCTTTTAATTTGGACGAATTAAACTCTTTGACTATCAAAATCGTTCCACCATTAGTCGTTCCGTGAACCTAGCATTAGTTAGAAGTTAAAAGCAGGGATAAAATCGTCCATTCATCTGTTGGGTCTTTCTTGCTCCCACCTAGCTCAAAAAGTTAAGGACAAACCTCTCTGGTGCATGGCAAGTAAAGATGGCTTCTCAATCACAGCAAAGTGGCAAGACAAGAGAGATATGACAGTTGAGATTTGCATGATATTCTTGCATAGCGGCTGGTCTTTTCTCTCGTTGACGGTGGCGACTGGTGAGATCCGGCGACCTTCCTTGTACAGCGGCGAGCTCTGGCGACCTTTCTTTTACAGCGGCGAGCTCCGGTGCAACTGGGACTTCCGACGACGGCAACAACAGTTCCGGCAACCTCTGTTTACGGTTGAGCAGTAGCGGCGACTTGTGAAAGGGAGGGGAAACAAAATCATAGCCACAAGAAGCTTAAAATAGCGACTTTACTTCATAGAAACAACCTTTCTCTAGTGAAGTGACGTCTTTATGACTAGACCCATTCGATACCTTTATGTTCTCATCAGGTGAAGTTGTTCTGCATTCATCATCATTATTTGGTGAGGAACTCCAAAGCTGGGAAGTGTTGTACCTTTCTTCTTAGAATGTTTCGGTTGGACACATGGGATTTCACTAGTTTCAAAGTCCGGAGAACCCTGATCACTGTTCTGTTTAACACTCAACTTTAAGCTAAAATTGGTCTCCACATGTAAGTTTCTGAGCATATTTAAAGCACACTAACACCCACTGAACACTCAACTTTAAGCTCAAATTGGTCCCCACATGTAAGTTTCTGAGCATATTTAAAGCACACTAACACCCACTACCAATTTCACACAAATTAAGTAAAGTAATCTCAAAGTCTTACCACTGACAGCCATTCGATTGCCTAGTGTGCAGCGCGAGTAAATAGAGACTGGTTCACTTCACTGGAGCGCGAGTAAATGGAGCTTTCTTCCTTCGTCGATGGAGTCTGATTCTCTTCACTGGAGCTTTCTTCCTTCGTCGAATGAATTAGGTTTCACAGGTGGGTTAGTGGAGTCAATTAGAATTAGGCGGGTAGAATTACATTTAGGCGGGTCAGGTAAAAATTTGGTCAACAATCCGTTTTACCAAATCGTAGAAACAATATAAAAATACGATTTTGTCCCTTCCAAATCAGTCCATTTGTTAACTTGCGTTTTTTCGGTCACAAATCGCCGGTAATTTGGCCGGCGTGATCAAAATTGATAGAAATCGCATAGTCAAGGTACTAAATTAACATTTTTGATAATCAAGTGCTGCAATTAACACACCTCTAATAGTCAGTGGACCAAAATTGAAAATTTTCTCTTATTAAAATGAAACTAGTATATGAAAAATGAAACTAAAATCCAGAACTATACAATAACATATATTGTCAAATGAACGTGGAGTGTAATTAAAACAATACTTTAACATATTATTATAATTGAACTAATCTGTGTGGCGGGGTGAATCCTGTGGATGTGGAGCTGGATATGATTGATATGTGGGTACAGCTGCATGACATGCCGAAGGGGTACACATCTCATGCAATTCTGGAACAGGCGGGGAATTTTTTGGGCTCTTTTGTTAAGCATGATGAGAGATTTGAAGGAGCACCATGGTTAACCTTCCACCGTATTCGGGTATCAATTTCGGTTGATAGGCCGCTTAGGAGAAGGATGAGGTTAATGAAGAGAGATGGGACTACAACATGGGTTAATTTCAGGTATGAATGGCTGCATAAGTTTTGCTACTTTTGTGGTTATATGGGTCACTTGCATACTTTCTGCCTACAAGCTAGGGAGGAGGGAATTCCAGTGGAAAGGTACCTGTACGGTCCAGATATGCGGGTTGGTGGGTCCCGGAGCGCTCCTAGAGCGGTTGGGATAGCTGGCTCGTGCCGGTAGGCGGGAAACCACGTCCATTGGTGGTGAAGCCACGAATGATTGAGGCGGTAGACGGGGGTCGGGGAGGTGGTGGAGTCACACCCACGAGTATGTCTGAGGATGAGGTGGTGGTGGCTACGGCGAAGCGTCGTAGACATAGGACGGAGTCTGGGGAGGATGGTGGGAATGATGAGGTAACAAACACTGTTGGTTCAAAAAACTTGTCCATGGCGGGAGCTGATGTCCAGCCCCGCCCATCATCATGAGTACGATAAGCTGGAACTGTCGTGGCTTGGGCAATCCACGCACAGTTCGAGAAGTAGTGGACCTGGTTTCCCGTAAGAAGCCAGAGTTTGTGTTTTTAATAGAAACCAAGGTGGCACGGAGTCATGCGGAGAGAGTTCGTGTCAGGCTTGGTTATGAGGGTTTGTTTTATGTGAATAATGAAGGCCTGAGTGGGGGTATGACACTCCTTTGGAAGAAGAACAACACAGCTAGATTGTTGAGTTACTCGCTCAACCATATTGATATTGAGGTTAGTATGAATGACATGTTATGGCGTATGACATGTATATATGGATGTTCGGATCGAAATAGAAGACATGAAACCTGGGAGCTGCTGAGTATGTTGAAGAATAGATCTGGGTTACCTTGGGTGGTGATAGGGGATTTTAATAATCTTCTCTATCAACATGAAAAGAGGGGGGGGGGGGGGGGGGGTGAATCCATACCCGAATAACCTCTTACAAGGGTTTGGGGAAACCATTGATGAGTGTGGTTTGGTGCAAATGCCAATGCGGGGACGCCAATTTACTTGGGATAAGAGTAAAGGCACAGTGAATTGGATACAGGAGAGGCTTGATAAGGTGCTTATTACGGAGGAGCGGGGTGGTATGAATGAGAATGAATGGGTGGAGAATATGCAGACTAGAGAATCAGATCACTCGGCTCTATTTCTAAATATAAATGCTCTCAGTATGCGTAGAGTAATAGGACCGAGGAGGTTTAGATTTGAAAATACATGGTTATTGGATGAAGGGTGCAACTGTGCAAGGAGGTGGTGGAGACAGCCTGGCAGGAGGGGAGGCCGGAGGGCTTGTTGCACTGTCAGCAATTTTGTGATATAAAGTTTATGAGATGGGGTGGGGGGGGGGGGGGGGGGACCAATTCCATAAATTTGGTCACCGAATAGGGCAGTTGCGGAGGCAGCAGGAGGGGTTCTGTGATATAACGGATCCGACCGCATTGGCCGAATTCCAACAGAATGAGAATCAGTTAAAGCAACTGGAGGCCCATCCTCCAGGAGGATGTTTTTTGGAGACATCGTGCGAAACAACACTGGCTCCGGGGTGTAGATGCTAACACCAAGTTCTATCACAGGTATGCTTCTGCCCGTAGAAAGAAGAATTTTATTGCTAATATTAAGAATGAGAGTGGGGATTGGGTGGAGGATACAGATATGCATACAATGATTCTGGATTATTTTAAGAGCATATTTGCGTCTAATAATTTGAGCTGTGATGATCCCCTCTTTAATGATTTTTCCCTCCGTGTGTCGAATGAGAATAATGAGATGTTGAATCAGCCTTTTTCGAAAGAAGAGGTAAAAACCGCACTCTTTTCTATGTTCTTGGATAAAGCACCAGACCCGGATGGAATGAATCCGGGCTTCTATCAACACTTTTGGTCTATTGTGGGGGATGATGTGTCCGATTTTATATTGCATGCTTTGAACTCTGGGGTGTTTCCAGAGGGTCTGAACGATACTAACATAGTATTGATTTCTAAAAAAGAGGTCCCAGAGACAGTTGCAGATTTGAGACCGATTGGGTTAAGTAATGTCATATATAGAATAATGGCAAAGATGTTGGCAAACAGAATGAAAATTTTGATGGGAGATATCATCTCGGAATCCCAAAGTGCATTTATGCCTAACAGGTTAATTACAGATAATATCTTGGTGGCAGCTGAGGTGGGTCACTACTTGAACAGGAAGCAGTGTGGTGTAGTAGGCTGGAGTGCACTGAAGTTGGACATGTCAAAAGCATATGATAGACTGGAATGAGGTTTTCTGGAAAAAATGTTGACAGTGCTGGGTTTTAGTGATAATGGGTTAATTTAATAATGTTGTGTGTGACAACAGTGAGCTATACTGTAATGGTGAATGGGGAGGTAGGGGGACGGGTCAAACCGACTCGTGGACTCAGACAGGGAGATCCTCTTTCTCCTTATTTATTCATTATCTGTGCTGAGGCACTTTCGATGTTGTTGCAGAAGGAACAGATATCAGGATCTATACATGGATGTAGAGTGGCCAGGGGTACTCCCCCGGTGTCTCATTTATTCTTTGCGGATGACAGCCTGCTTTTCTTTAAAGCAAATATTCATGAGGCTATGGTGATTAAAGAATGTTTGATGAGGTATGAGAAACTATCTGGACAGGTGGTGAATTATAACAAGTCAAATATATGTTTTAGCCGAAATACCCACCACATGGTCAGAACGCAGGTGGTAGACTATCTTGCGGTAGTGCAGGTAAGTAATTTTGGGAAATATCTGGGCCTCCCATCGTTTGTGGGCAGAAATAAAAGAGCAGTTTTTTCCTATGTGGAGGAAAAGATCAGGCAGAGGATTGGATCGTGGAACACAAAGTTATTATCTCAGGCTGGTAAGGAAGTTTTATTGAAAAGTGTGGCTCAATGTATGCCAACTTTTTCAATGAGTGTTTTTTTGTTGCCTGAAACAGTTTGTCAATCCATTGAGAGAGCAATGAATAGATACTGGTGGGGAAGTGGCAAAGATAAGGGGATTCACTGGAAGGCATGGGATAAGTTATGTATCCCCAAGAAGTTTGGTGGTTTTCAAGGAATTGAGGGCTTTTAATCTAGCTATGCTGGGCAAGCAGGCATGACGTTTTTTGACAAACCCAGAGTCTCTGGTGGCAAGAATATATAAAGCCAGGTATTACCCCACTTCTAGTTTTGTTGATGCTACTATTGGTAATTGCCCAAGTTTTTGTTGGAGAAGTATAATGGCAGCACATCCAATAGTGGTAGCTGGGATAAGACGCAGGATTGGAAATGGTGAGACAACTCTAATTTGGGGACACCCATGGCTGCAGGATAATCCAAGTCCCTTGGTACAAACAATTATGCCTGAGGAGTTAAGAGAAGCACGAGTAGCAGGTTTGATTGACCCACAAACACAAACATGGGATCCACATATTTTATCTGATTTATTTATCCCTGAGGATGTGAGCCGAATAGTTATGGTTCCTGTTAACCCTGATTATGATGACTCATGGTACTGGACAGGTGACCCAAAAGGAATTTATTCAGTAAAGAATGCCTACAGGCGTATTGTTGGTGATTATGAGAATAACCCAGGTAATTTTGATAAATGGGTTAAGATGTGGAAATTGAAAGTACCACCAAAATGGAAGACTTTTTTATGGAGAGCAGTATGTGATATTTTACCCACTACCACGAATCTAATTAATAAGAGGGTGGAGATTGACCCGACATGTCCTATGTGTAGACTTAATAATGAAGATGTGTTGCATGCATTAGTTTATTGTGAATATTCTGCATTAGTTTGGAATATAACACAATTACCTATCACGAATATTATTACAGATTCGTTTGCGGCATGGTTAACTGGGGCTATGACGATTCTAACCGAGGAACAAACACAGCTTTTGGTGGGAGTTCTATACAATATTTGGAGGAGCCGCAATGCAGCCGTGTGGGAAGGGGCCATGTCACTGCCGCGGGCTGTTGTGAAGGGGGCGGCAACATTGCTGAAAGCCTATGGTGCGGTACACGGCCGTTCCACGCGAGAAGATGTACAGCCACATGTCGAACCAGTGTTGTCCAACAATCACATGCGATGCTATATAGATGCGGGGTTTCGGCAGGAAACCGGGGAGGCTACGTATGGAATTGTGTTATTAGAGCTCGGTGGCTCGTTTGTGGCAGCTAAGAATGGCAGATCACCCGTTGGTTTTTCACCACTCATGGCTGAAGCTATGACTTTTAAAGAGGCACTGTCCTGGTTAGTTGAAAGGAGTGTTAATTCGGCCAATCTGCTCACGGATTGTATGGTTCTGCGATCCACCATACATCACCAGATTACTCCCATTCACTCGTATGCGGGGTTGATAATTGACCAGTGCAAGACAATGATGTCTTTATTTAATTTTATTTCGTTAAGCTATGTGCCTAGACAGATTAATTTACATGCTCTTGCTTTAGCTTCGTTAGCTTTTACTCAGGAACATTCTATGTATTGGGATTCTATCCCTCCTGAAACTATTATAACTTTCATCAATTAATACAATCGACAGATTGATTTTTCAAAAAAAAAAAACTAATCTGTGTGAAAAATGAAACAACAAAATAGAGCTCATACAATATATATTGTCAAATGAAACTCTAGTAAAATTAAAATGATACTTTAAAATTTTCCTAATAAAATTAGTAAGTGTAAAAAATGAAATTAAAAAACAAAATAATATTATAAAATAAAACTAAAGTGTAACTAGAATGATACTTACTTTACGAACCAAATTAGTGCATGAACCATGGTCCACAGTAAAATTTGCCATTTGGGTACCATTTAAAATTTCAGTACTATCTAAAACATAAACGGGATCGCAAGTTCGCAGCTCTGTTTTAGCAGTTAAGCAAAGATGCCGTCCGCGAAACCCTTCGCGACCGCCGCAGGGATGCTGAAATCCAGATTGAGCTCGGGCCTTCGAACCCGAGGAGGACATGGCCCGAATCCATTCCTTACTCCCGGCCACCAGGAGCGCCCCAATGGCTACCTCTTCAGCCGTACGCCGCCGCCGCCTGGGCAATCCCGGAAATGGGAGGATTGGGAGCTGCCGTGCTACGTCACCAGCTTTCTCACCATTGTGATCCTCGGCGTGGGGCTGAACGCCAAGCCCGATCTCACTATCGAGACCTGGGCCCATCAGGAAGCCATCAAACGGCTCGAGCTCGAGTCCGAGTGACTGATCGGATCAATCTATCTTGGTATGCTTTTGATTCGCCCTACTTTGGAAATTTTTCTAAGTTAGGGTTTTGGAAGAGAAGATGGGGAAGTCTTCTGTTGATATTTTTTGGTGCAGTTGTTGAAAAATAAGCATTGCGTTTATTAACTCATGATTTGAATTGGTAGCTTACGACTTTGTTCCGGAATAACTTCAATTTACTGCAATGTTTAACCTGGTAATATTGTGTTGTTTCAATGATAATACATTTCCTCAGTATACTATGAAAAGTTGAATTTTTCCCATTTCCTCAAGTTTGTTGTAGTGATTATACAAGAACTTAATTAAATTATCCAGTATGTGTTTCATGAGTTTAGAGAGTGATCTTTGTTGCTGGAGTTGCGGTTGAGTATGTTTTGAGCCCAAATGCTTTGCATAGGTTTAAGTCAACCACATTATTTAGCAGGAAAGTCAATGCTATGCAAGTGGGGGATGCAATGTGTTCATTCATTAGTTCTAGTTTAAAAGCCTAGAAGAGTTGTGTGCATTGGATTTTGAAGGCTTAATTATGAAATGATTGTTAGTCTGGTGTAACCTTGTCCCATTGAGATAAGTTATTTCTACCATTTGCAAACCCCTTCTGCTTTTGAGCTTTTCTTATGACCTCAACCAAAAGTAGAGCAAACAAATTTGATTTGCATAATAATGGGGTAGTATAGCTGCTGTAATTTAGTGTAATTTTCTTCATGTTACTAGACCTTATGTATGAATTATGATGTATTGATATTTTGCCATATTGGTTGGTTTCCTTGACCATTTAAAATAATACAAACAAAATGGCATTGTAGAGCGTGTAAATAATAGAGTATCTAATTGCTTCATAAACTTCAGTCTGACAAACTGACAAAGAAAATTGAACTTGAATTACAAGAATATCTATCAAGCTAGATAGGGTTCTTTTATCACATTTTTGTACCTTGAACCTTAGGCGTAATAGCATGGTTTGTATAATGAGCCTCATGCCTTCATGTGTTCAAGATTGGAATTCTGTTGATACTTTTGGGCTGTGTCAGTATTAAATGTTTCTAAGCCAAATCAATTTACTTTACTTGATTATTATTATTATTATTATTGTTATTATTATTATTATTATTGCTTTGTTTTTACTTATTTATTTCTTTATTTTATTAATTTTTGAGAGGTGATAGTGCTCATATTGTGACATCAACTTCATGTTCTTTTTTTTTTCCCTGTAAAAGTGTAAATTTAACTTTAATGTTTTCCCTCTCCTTGATTAAATATATTTGTTCAAGGAAATTGACAATCTAGGCTAACTCCCTGCCCTGCCTAATGTTCTGTTACCATTAGCTGTTTAATTGAATTTTGTTATCCTGCAGTCTATGCACATAATCGATCAATGTCTTACAATTTGCTTACAAAATTTCTCATATATGGTAGCTGTTTGGTTTGAGGGGTGGGGTAGGATATTAGTGATGATTGATGAGAATATTTATTCCTTGTGTAGTGCAAGGATAACCAAACCCTTCCCCTCCCCACTTGTGTTTAATATAAACTTAACTTTCGAGATCAGTCGAGGACCACAATTTATACCCATTGTATTATTGCAGCAAAGTTGAAGAACAGATGGGAGTAGTGGAAATTTCTAGTCCAAACCCCTCTAATGCTATGAACAAAATGAGCCTTCATTTCCCCAAGTTAGCCATGTGTTGTTTAGAGAGTTACCCTTAAATTAGCATGCACAACTGGGTGTCTTCTAGTCTTATAGATCAAACTATAATTTATAAGGCTTGAGATGGAGAAGTGTTCTACATACAAGTGTGATGAGAGGTATGTTGCACACATAGTTCACTCTTCCTTCCATCCAATATAATGGGTGCATTGAATTCTACTAACCTCTAGTATGAGGAAATGAACATTTTGTCATTCAGGTGTTAAATTATTTGTGTTCGTGTTGTGAGTTTATTTAGTTTCTTCCAGTCTTGCGAAGCCAGTCCCATTTTCAGGTCTTCCTTCTGAAACGCGGTTTAGCATTGAAATATAATTAGTAGTAGTAGGTGAGTGCATTTTCAGCTTATCTTTTAGAATATAATATGCACTTACATACATTTTTACTTTGTTTGAATTGGCTTATGAGATTTTGAAAAGTTGTCTTGACCTCATTTCCATAAACCAATTTAAGGAGTTGATTAAAATAAGCTGAAAACATCTTTTAAAGAAGATGTGAGTTTCTGAACTTATTTATCTATTTTGATCTTTTCTTATGGAGAATATTTAAAAAGTGTCCATTATAAAAACACTTATGTAAGATCTTTATCCAACTTGGCCTTAATCGAGATTATATTAATCCTGGCTCTAAAACAAAGCAGTTTGCTGTTAAATATTCCAGACTATAAGCTTTATCTAATGTTTCTCACTGAATTCTAGCTGCTTAATGAACAGATCTGGTATTATGCACAAGTCTCTGATTCTCCACACATTTTTTTATTTTTTTTTCTGGAATTCCATTGTGGGTATTATCTATAGTTAGATATTCTGTGAATACCATATACAAGGAAATGAACTTTATTCCTATTGGCATGCATTTGTTATTTGTACTACTCACTGAATGTGAACATTTATTTTAATGAAACTAATAGTAAAATTGAAGAGTTTGCAAAGGTTCATGTGGTCTGGCTAGCTGCCTCCCATATTTTATTATGGTGACTCTGAATTGAGATCGAGAACGTGAATGAGCAGCAAGCCACCAACTTCTCTTCATTCATCCTATCACCACCAATTTTTTTTTAAGCAAAAGAAATGATAAAGAAAGATATTAGAGTGTGTTTGGAAACCAGGAAAATGACTTTTGAAAAATGTTTTTTTGGATAATGAGTCATTTTTCAGAAAACATTTTCATTTTTCGTGTTTAGTTGCATTTCACAAAAATGTCCTTGTGTGTTTGGTTCGTTTTTTAGAAAATGAGCAGAATTGTATAATTAAAATTTTAATTGTTAACTAAAAAACGATTTGATAACAACTATTTTGACAATAGCTATGTTTTGCCTGACTATTATTTTTGAAATAACAAAGAAAAAGAAAGTGGAGTAGAGGTTTCCGACGGAAATCAGTTGGAAACTAGTTTGTGTGTGTATATGTATGCTTGAGAACACTTCCATAGATAAGAAGGAATAAGAAGGTGCAAACAAACATGCATGAGTGCAAAATATACTCAGAATCTTCACTATCATTTAAGCATGAGTGCCCAATATATTCAGGGTCTTCATCATTAGGGGTGGAGCCACAGTGGGGACAATAGGAACAGCTGTCCCTCTCTCTCACCCCACGCCTTTATATATATATAACATTAAATGTTATATAAAAATTATATTTATGTTGGAATTGTCAATAGTTTAATTAACTTAGTTGATTGAACTCTAAATTTGATGTTAAAGGGCGTGTGTCACACACTTTTCTTTATCTTCTGCCATTCATTTTATTTCTTTCATTTTTTCATAAGATAAATTAAATATTTTTGTCTATTTTTTTAAGCATTTAGTTATCAAATTAAATGAAATTAAATATTTTAATCTATTTTTTAATCATTTAGTTATTAAATTAAATGGTCTTTTAATCTATTTTTATAAATCATTTACTTAAATATAGTATACAAGTTTATATTATACTTTATTGTATTCGAATTAATTTATTGTATTCAAATTAATTTAAAAAATTGAGCTAACTAAAAGAAATTAAAATTAAAAAATATTTATAAATATAATGTTATTCAAATTCTTTTATTCTTTTATTTAATTAATTATATTTCATATTTTGTCATAAATATTTTCATATTTTCTCCGCTCTTATCCACCATCATTTAAGCATACCTGAAAATAAGCATACCTGAAAATTCATTTGACAATATGATTTTGGGTTTCCCTCGTGAACCTAAAATAAGTAGATAAAAACAAGTGGAAATCAATAATAAAAGAAAAATGAGATATATTCATAAGGTAAGGACAGACCACCACTGTTCGGTCTAACTTCTACGTGCTATTTGTTTCTGCAGGAGATGTTAGCTAGGAGCTTAGAAGCATTTTAAATTATACATAACATTAATTTCTAGTACAGTGCTCTAAAAGAGTAATATATATATATATATATATATATATATATATATATATATATATATATATATATATATATATATCAATCTTCCAAGCCAGCGACATTCCTAAGCGTCCACCCAATGGCATAAGCAGATGCACCAGCAATGGCACCATTGGAGAGTGTTATAGCTACTGAAACAGTGTAACTCTGGCTGGCAATCTTGGCCTTGGCAATGCCAAGCAGTGTAAGGGCAAGCGCCGAGAGCGCACAGGCCGCCATGAACTTGTGTGTTACGTTCTGGGTGAAGGGGATGAGAATGATGAATGCGAGGATGGGCGCACACCCGAATACAACAAAAGCCGCGAATGTAATCAGGCCGTTCTTCCACGGCTTAGCAGGCTTCTTTCCCTTTTCCAGGGGTGAGGATAATCCTTTCTTGGCTGCCATTTTCTCTGCCACCAATATGTCCATGTACTTGGCAAATATGGTCACCACCTGATGGAATTGCATCATGATCAGAGAAACCCCATCACCCATATCATATATAATAGAATGTAATTAATGAATTGAAACAAGTAGAAAGAGATGATGGAGAGTAGTATGAGTGTACGCACTGTAGTGGCATCATTGAGTTCCATTCCAAGTGCTTGATAATGTTGAAGCAATTCCTGCTGCAAAGCTATTGGGGTATGCATCACATCCCATTCAGCCACTATTTTCTCCTTCGCAACTACGTCTCTCTCCGTGCTGGTGGACACAAAATCCCCAAACCCCATTGATATTCCATCAGCCACCAGATTAGCAAACCCCAACACCAGAACATCACCTGCCAAGTACAGAAAAAACAAAGAAGATAAGATTTATTGAATAATGTGCATACATTCACGGGAATGAAACTATTCTTTTATTAATTGTAATGATAATATACATTATATTTATGATGAAACACCCCTGTATATGGGGCTGTTCCCAATCTATTTTACTCTTATTCCTTATATACCAGAAGAAAGGCGGCCGGCGGAGATGGAAGAAATGAGGGAGAAAGAAGTGACAATGGCATCAAGGCCGGCGAACACAATACTCCTCACGAATTCTCCTTTCCATGGTTCTTTTGGTCGTCGTTTCTCACTTTTACCCTTTTTCTCCATTTCTCCATCCTCCACACTTCCTCCTAGTTGCACATATCTGCTACTTTCAGCCATTTCTTATCAAACTTTGTTTTCTTATAATTGTTTAGTTTTTACCGCTCCCCCCTGATGCCCTCTTATTATATTTTCACCGCTTTAGCTGTTCAGCAAGCCAAAAGTGGGTAAGGTAAAAACACCGATCTGAGGCGTCACCATGCATGAGTATGTGTTGTCAACTGGAGAAGGTTTGCAGAGTGTCGACGTGGCGGATTGTTTGCCACTTTTCTCCCAATCCCCTATAAAGCACACAGTTGTCAATATTTGGACTATCCTTACTCACTATACCTATATATGCTATGTTAGCCTCTTCTAAAAACAAAAATTCAAAATACAATTCTTTTACTTCATATTTTATTGATTCAAGAAAAAAATAAAATTAGGTGAAGTTTGTATATTTATTTCCTTTTTCTACCTTCAATAAAATGGAACAAAGATTTTAGTCATTATGGTATATTCAACTTAATTAGATAAATGATTATACCAAGCACCTTGTGCACAGATGGAATCCGGATTGAACTTTCATATGGAAGGTTGTGAGTTTGAGACTCAGTTATTGGCTCTTTGTGCTTCAATCAATAGGTTGACATTGTAATAGAGTCACTAGCAAATCAATCTCAATTTTACATGGCATTTTTGTAATTATTATCAAATCTACTATACAAATTTGAACACTAAAATGTAGGAATGGATAATTCAGTTCAATTTTCTCAAACCGAACGGTAAAAATTTAAATCGAAACGAACCGAGTACGTTTGATTTTTTTTTAATAAATAAAAATTTAATAATAATAATAATAATAATAATAATAATAATAATAATAATAATAATAATAATAATAATAATAATAATAAAATTCAAGTCTCTTGCTGCCTGATTCGCCGTTCATCTCATATTCTCACTGGTATCTCTCTTAAATTTTTTATTTGATTACTTTATGACTTATTCTCTACTGCAATTGTTCTTTGCCTCACAATTGAGTTATTCTTACAATATTCAGTATTTTCCTTAGTTTTATGTTTGTATGAAATTAATGTGCTTCAACATCATTCTACTTTTGATTTCTAATGCTTGGAAGCACTGGAATATTTTTCCAGTACTAGAATATATTTCCAATGCACTAGAAATATATTTTGCCAATGCAAGTGATAGTGTTAATTGCCACGCAAGCGGAAATAAACAAACACAAGACCAATTAAAGTAATTAAATGTCTCTTATTGATCAAGGTGAAGGCCCTAAGTACAATCTAAATGGCTGTTCCGAGTACCGACTGACTGCGGTCGGGATTCTCTGATAACAACCTATCGATCGTCCAAAAGTCCCCCACACTGTTGCTATCGCGGGTAATTATAGCCGTGGAGCCAGAGACACAAGTTCGGCCGTCCTGCATGTCGCCCACGTAGCAACCACGTGTCGCCCTCCCGGGTGCCCTGCCTGTCAGCACGTAGTGCTGCCACGTGTCTCTTCTCAACTTTCTTGTCTAAGGGCTACCGCTCGGTGGTCGACGACGCCGGTCGGGTGCTGCCCGGTCGGGGTCCGACCGGGTGTCTTCTAAAAAATCCGACTTGTAACCTGCAAAGACAAGAGCAAAAGGACGAAGGCATGTCGGTCGGGGTATTCCCTACCAAGAGCCCTCCAGCCCGTGCCTTTTTGAGCGTCCGGGAAAAAACGGGATGGGATGAAGAAGCCCCACCGCCCGCCGCCAAACCGACCGGCCAGCTGTCATTCCCTTCGTGCCACGTGTCGATGACTGCCGGCCTCTGCGATCGCAACGGTCACCTCGGAATCAGGAGCGGTCGCGTCACGCAAGTGGATTGGTTTCCCGCCCAAATGCTCTCCTATAAATAGGCCTTTGAGGCCCTCATTTGAACTTTTCCCAATCTTCTTGAATCGATCGGTACCCTCAGAGAGTCCCGAGCGAAGCATCTCAGCAGATCGGTCGAGCAACTATCTTTCAAACTTTCTCAGCACTCGGTAAGTTCTCTGGTCTTTAACTTTTATTTCTTGCTTTACATTTCCACATAGCCATTGTAGGCGATAACTGACCTTGACCCAAACATCCCGAACCCTACTAACCCCGACCGGCCTTTAGGTAGACGAAATGTCACAATCGGATAGCCAGAACGCGTCGTTCGCGGACTACGACGACGAAGTCGAGCAGATCAGCGAGGAAGTGGACATAATGTCCTACTCGCCAGAGGTCGTCCAACGACCACAAAAAGCCCCCGAGCGATCCCCCGAGCAACGAAGGTCATCGAGTTCATCTGGGACGTCGGGGACTAGCTCGAGCGAATCGGGGAGCTCGAGCGGAGAGAGCGGGGAGACGTCCACAAGCGGGCGCAATCTCCCGAGCGAAGGCGTTCGGGACACGCCAACTAGGGTAATTGGGGATTACCCTCAAGCCGAGCCCCGGGAAGACGATCGAGAAAACGCTGCAGAGCCGGTCGAGGAAGACCCGGCCGAACCGGCAGTACCGGCCGCAGGCGGATTCTAGTTCTTGAACAGCGAGAACGTCGAACTTCAGATGAGTAAACTGACGAAAGGAGAGGCAGCCAAAATCGCCGCAACACTCAGTGGTCGGGTTGAGTTCGACACTAGTCGCCGGCTCGGGAACGTCATTGAGCGGCATTGGGGAAAGTGGATCGGGATGCATTATGATTCACTGACGGTCCCGATCACTTTCCCCTTCACTGGCCTTCTAACCGCATTCCTGGGCTACTACCAAGTCGTCCCAGCGCAAGTTTGCCCGAACGCGCACAGGATGATTGCCTGCTTCCCTCAAATATGCGCTCGGCACGACATGGCCTGCACAATGGAGCTGTTCAACTTTGTGTACCAGGTGAATGTCCTCGCAGCCTCATATGGGGGCGGGTTCCTAATGACCCAATCCCGAGCCGAGATGTGCTCGATTAAGGGCCTACCCGGGAATAACCGGGGATGGAAGAACAGGATCTTCTCGGTCAAGTATGACCCGTGGATCCTCCCGGTTGAGAGGACTTGGAGCAGCCATTTCCGGAAACAAGTTACCCCGGTCGAGACAAAAGCCCTCCGGGACGCGGTCACAAACATCTCGGGCGAGATCTATGAATAAAAAATCTTCCGGACGGCCGAGAGCTACGAGGCAGCCCAACTACCCGCGCCGATCTACGAACTGACCGAGAAGTACAAGCTCGAGCCGATGGGCGTAACGATCGCAAGGGCGCCCGCTCGGGGCAAGCGGAAGGACAAAGGACTAACACTAACCAATCCTCCCCGACCTTAACACCCCGAACGCCCTTTATTCCCGGTCTAACCACCTTTTCCTATTTGTTTGCAGAGATGGCAGGTTTTGATGAGGATGATGCACCTTCGGCCCCGGTGGCCAAGATCGTACTTGGGAAGAAGAAGCCCAAGACCAAACCGGCCGGGGATAAAGAAATCCCGATCGCCCGACCGATGGGTGCCTCGACCGTCACTACGCCCGAAGGCTACGTAGTCGACACGTCCGATGTCCTAATTGCCCGGGTGGCTGTCCCCAAGGGCAAGGAGAAGGTGCCGGAGAAAGGAGTGGCTGAGAGTGGCGCCCTGAAGCGCCGTAGAGAGCAGCGCAGCCCGAGCCCCTCGGTCGGGGGTACTAAGGGCGGCTCGTCTGTCCTCACCCGGATCGGCAACGCCGGGCCAGTCGAGGAGGATCTAAGCAAGCTAACACCGACCCAGGTGGCCGAGAAGATCGGCTACGACCTGACAGAGGTAAGACACTTTCGTCCTCTCGTCCTTATACGTAAGTAGTCTCACTCGGGCTGACTCCGATCGTACTTTGCATTTGCAGATCTCTCGAGCGGCTCAGCTTCTTCAACGTCGGGCTCTGCAGGCCAACGAGGCCGAAGCCCTCAAGAAGGTCGCCGACCGGCGATTACAAGAAGTCAAGGACCTCCAGGCGGAGTTAACAAAGGCCAAGGAGGACCTGAAGAAAAGCCGGGAAGATCGGGATCTTTCCGAAAAGGTCGCTCAACAAGCGATCGGGGAGGTCGCAGAACTGAAGGCCCGACTGAACAATCCGGGCGAGCTGGCCCAGTTCCTCTTCCAGGACAATGAGTCGGGCACGCAATTCCTCCGGGCAGTTCGGGATACGAAGGTCGGGGAGGAACTGGTCTGGACGTTCGGGCGGTGGGCGTTCAAAATCGGCCAGAGGAAGATGCGCGAAAAGACGCAAAAGATCATGGAGCAAGCGCTCGAGGGAGAAGATCTTCAGTTGGTCCTGACCACGCTTCCTCAGGATATTCCCGACCCCGGGCCACCACCGTTCAACCCGAAGGAAGAGACGGCCGAGCCAAGCGGGGCTGCTGCTGCCACACCGAGCGACGTGGAGCCTACGAAGAAGTAGATTTAGTTTCTTCTTCGTTTTTGTAAGTGAACTCGATAGGGAGCCCGGTCCCGAGTTGTACCGGGCGTATTTTGAAGTTAATGAAATTTGTTTTTTGTTCAACTCCTGTGGCTCGTAGCTGCTCATACTTTACTTTTATTCGCATGCATATCGATCGTCTAATGCCCAACCTCGTGGCCTCATGGCCTGATCGTGCACCTTTCGACCGGAACATCGACATTCTAATGGCCTACCCGATCGGGGTTTACGCGACCTTCTGGCCTTGTCGATTTTTTGAAAATTATAAGGCCTCTTCACTCGGGGTGTTCCCGAGCGACGGACCTATTGCACTTCCTTCATCCTAGCCCCCACACTATTGTGCGCTCGAGGCACGAGTGGGTGCAATAGTGGAAAGAAGTTGGACGGATCGGGGAATTCTGCTGTAGCTCTGACTTTACCGATCGGTGGCGTGACCCTGATGTCCGCCGAAGAAGACCACATTTGACCGGTCGATGGATTCGCCCGGTCGAGATAGCGTGGTGATAACGCGGGAGTGAAACTACCCTACGTCTAACGAAGGCAATGAAAAAACCGATCGGGCCGCCGTGTGCAAACGGTCGATCAATCACCGATTGTATATACATTGACTTTTCCCGCTCGCAGGCGGTTGAGAAAATATTCACAATTTACAGACTAATGACGAACGAGGTCGACTCGCAGGCCGAGCCCCCACTTCGCCTAACATTACAAAAAATAGGCTAGTGCCTAAACATCACGAGGT